GCAGGAGGGCTCGCCTGTCAGCTGTGCTGGGCGCCCCAGGTGAAGCTCTTCGTGCTCTGCCCGGCGCCAGGCAGGGATGGCGGCTGGGTGCTTCTCCCAGAGTGGGCCGATCCTGCGCTGCGGCCCCGGGAGATTCGCCTCCCCATGTGGGGTTGGGCAGCCCTCTCGGGCAGGGGAGGCTTTGTTGTAGTAGGGTGTCATTTTTAAAATAATTGGCTTTACCTTCGAAGGCAAAGGGAAGGCGGCGACAGGAGCTCCTGAAGCCAAGTGTCTCCGCAGGGCTCCGGTTGCAGGGAGGAGCCCTGACTGGCTGCACGTGGCTGCGCCAAACGCCGCGGCGTTGCTCTAACGCCGCGGCAGCAAGGGAGAAGGGAAAGCAACGGTGGCGGAAGATCTCCCGATACGAAGTGCCCCACCAACGCAGGCAGCACCATATCCGGGCATGCAACAAAAGTACTTCCTAACGGCAAGCCCCCCCCCCGCCACCCCCCCATTTCGCATGTTTAATATGGGCCTTAATTTGGGGGGAGGGCTTAATTTGATTTCATGCCAATAAAACATGGTGGGGCTTCCTATTGGTGGAGGCCGTATTGTTGGAGAAACACGGTATTTAAATGAAAAGTTTATTGAATGTCACCTATATGGCATTTAATAAACCTTGGTGGGCATTCTGGTCCATTGAATACAAGCATTATGTAAGCATATAACATCTATTGCAAAGTTCAGTTCTACGTCTGTTCTGAAGAATTGAGCAGCATGATTAGTGTAATATCAGCACATAGTTGTTTCCCAGAGGTAACAACTATAGAACAGAATTTCATAGTTTATCTCTTATTATATTGAAAACCAGAATGTCAACAACTGTGAGAGTAGGCTGAACTAGTTTGTAACAGCTGACTTTGAATTTTCAAAATCCATGCAAAATCATACTTCATTCCAGGTATGTCCAAAAGCATGGAATATTGCTATTCGTTTGGTCTGACTTGATACAGTATCATTTACTACAATGTTCATATCAATTGTGCAGCTGAAATATATTTTCTTATGTGAAAATGTGGGTCTAATTTTATCATAGCTGGATTACCATTTTATAGTGATGTCATTGGACCATCCCAACATAACTAAATACAATAAGCACTGCTAAGAAGTAGATAGACTATGTCTTCTCAAAGTGAGAAAAATATTTTACTCAGCTATTAGCTCTGACCTGTGAAGAAGTAAGATACAGCAAATAACCTTGTTATGATCTGAAAACCTCTTTGTACTCTAATCAAGGTAACAAAAGCTGGGCCTGTATAGTAAAAATTAAATCCTTGTTGAGCTTATGACAGATTTATCCTACTTTTGATAGGTAGATCTTATTATAGTGTACAGATACTCTTAGGCTTACGACTGGTTGCTTAGTGACCATGGAGAGATACAACAGACTTCCCAAAAGATATTTACGACTCTGTTTCAAAGTTATGGCTGGTGCAATGCCCCAGTGGTCATTCACCTTTAATCGGAGGGATGTAACAGTGATCCTCCACCTATTTCCTTCTACCATCCCACTCTGCTAGGTCTCTACAAGCATTGCACCTGCTTTTCCCTCCCACTGGGTCCCCGTCCCCTTACATCCATCATGTACTTACCTTCTGAAGATCTCCGGAGCTCCCAATCTCATATTGAGGAAGGAAGGCTATTCCATCTCTTAGTGTCCCTAAACCATACAGCCCAGGAATGGAATGATCTACTCTGCTTCCCTAAGACTGTGATATTGTAATGGGTATCGCGGTGGGCAGCGGGGCCAAGCCCTGTGAGGACCTGGTGCATGGGCAAGGACTTCAGGGATCCATTGAGTAAGGAAACAAGCCCAAGAGTTGAGGGGAAGGAAATGGAGTACAGGGTATTTCAGGGGTTGGGAGAGGCCTTGGGAGAGTCAAGAAAGATGGATCTGTGCCTGTGCTAGGCCTCCTGGGACTTCCTCCACTGCTGAGGCACCCCATGCTGTGCTTAACAACTCACACAGTGTTTAACAACTTCATCAGAGGTGAAGGGTGGCAGGCTTCATTAAGGTTGTAAGTTGAGGACTACCTATACTGTACTGAAAGTTTTAAAAACTTTGAAGCTAGTTGGTCTTCTAACAATACATTTGCAACTGCAACAGCCCTTGTGGAGAAATTGATGAGTCATCAAGTCAAGTGATTATTTCTCAGCCTGTATGTGCGTAAACTCTATTTTAACATATTTGTGAGAGTTTCAGGCAAAGCAAATTATTTCCAGTTTCTAATCACGGTACTTAAGAGGTTCCTTTTATAACTTTATAACCTTGGTGGATATTTTTGTTCATTATTTAAGGTAAGATCTAGCTTGTATTTTTACTATAAAATTCTTTGGAAGAGATTGGTTCTGAAGTGAATTATAATTGAGAAACATAATTTCACTACTATAAAAGCTTCAGTCTCTTAAAATATCACATCAAATGATGTTCGGTATCAGAATATTATCCCACAGTAATAACTAAATGAAGCGGTACTTTTAAATTTGAGATAGGAAAATCCTAAATGGAGAATGGTTTATATTGGTATGCCCATACATTTTCAGATGAGTTCTTCCAGCTGCCCAAGTTCAAGAGGCTTGACATGTAGCAGTGATAATTGGCTGATTTATTGAGTTACTGATTTTATTCAATCGCCTTCAGGGAGAAACAGAAACGAAAAGGCAACTAAGAGCTAAGGTCTGTCTTCTTTATGATTGAGAGGGAGAGGGATAAATAAGGGCACAAAGAGAATCTAAATATAACACGTCATTACTGCTGAAAATGTGGACACATTTGAAGATAGGGTTGTAGAATAAATTATGTTTAGAATGAACTGCTTATCTGGATGATATAATTATGCTAATAATTTCCAATTTTCATTCTCTTGTCCTTATTTCCTTATTTAGCTATCTTTTCAACTCTTCTAATTTCCACAGTTTTGTTCCTCCTTTATGTTTTCCTTCCTTTCCAAACACAGCTACCCGTTAATTTATGTCCATCCTGTTTTTTTCTTCCTTTTTGCTGTTTCTGCTGGAAGGCAGGAGATGTCTCTGTACTGTTTATTGTGCATGAGATTGGATGGTGTGTCACATGGAATGGTGGGGATATTGCAGAAGGTGTTAAATTACTCTATAGATAGAATACCTTGTTGTAGACAATCAGTTTAATTCTTAATTGTTTTTAGTGCTGGCCTTGCTCTTTTTTGGAATGTAGCTTCTTGTACACTTGTACGGGAAGAGAAAACTGTGTAGAATTGGTTAGATTTGGCAAGCATATGTTGACAGGGAATTTGAATATCCAAGAATATTTGTTTCTTTTATTTTTTTCTGGGGGACCATCTGAAATTTAGGGTAATCTTTCTATATTTCTGCCTTTCATTTTTGTTTTCTGGGTGTAGTACTTCATTAGTAGTTCTTTCTTCAAATATGTTTGATTCTTTGATTCTTTTTCTAGGGCTTCAATCGCATTTCACTTACTGATGCATCACAAAGGACTAGGATACGGGTGTCAAACTCGATCGTGTCATGTGACATATTGTGATGTATTGCAACGTTGTCTTTGCGGAGCTGTGGTGGGAGTGACATATGATATAATTCTGGATTAGGATGTCCCCTGTGACATTTTTTACAGCCATTTCATATCAGAATTCTAGAATTGTGGCTACTTTCAAAGCTCTTCAGGGATTCAGAATACTGCTTCAAGGACATTCAATTCAAATAATTGCAAACAACACAAAAGAGAACCTTTTCCCTCATACTTCTTGATCAGTAATTGAAGGTTTGAAATTGGTGCACCTGCTTGTACAGGTAATCCTTGACTTATGACCATAATTAAGCGCAAAATTTCTGTTGTTAAGTGAGGAATTTGTTAAGTGAATTTTTCCCCATTTTTAGGGCCTTTCTTGCCACAGATGTTAAGTGACCCATTGCAGTTGATAAGTTAGTTATATGGTTGTTGTGAATCTGGTTTCCCCATTGACTTTGCTTGCCAGAAGGTCACAAAAGCTGATCACATGACCTCAGGACACTGCAACCATTACAAATATGAACCAGTTACCAAGCATCTGGATTTTGATCACATCATGGGATGCTGCAAAGGTCATAACTGTAGAAACGGTCATAAGTCACATTTTTCAGTGCCATTGTAACTTTGAATAGTCACTAAACGAACTGTTGTAAGTCAAGGATTACCTGTAGTACAATTAAAGGCAAGTAGCAGTAGTTGCATCTTAGGAGTTTCCAAACCAAAGTGCAAAATGTACTTTGTACTTTTTGCCACTGATTTTCCATCAGAAGACAGTCAGATGCTGACTTATTTATAGGGCTATGCAAACCATGGAAAAGAAATGTTTTGCAGAGTCTTTTCAGATAGTTAAAGCAGCAGCAGCAGCATTTGCAAGGTTTGCATCAGGCAATGCAGTCTTTCCTGGTTGTCAGCAGTAATACTACCGGGTATATGCATTTGCTCTCTCCACTTCAGACAAGGGGGATTGCTGTGGTTCAGAAAGAAATGCTAGTAATTCTTTGAGGGCTTCAACAGATATATGCCCATAGGCAATGCTATAGTTGGTTATCTAGTACTTTCATCTATTTTGTTAGGATGCACTGCCTCACAGTTTATATAGTTTGATATTCAGATGTTTAATTTCTAAGATTGCAGATCTGAGAGGATGCAGGTACAGATATAATACTTATGCACTCAAATAGTTGTATTCTACACATGTTAAGAAGAATATTGAGTGAACATAGGAAGAGAAAGCAAATTCATTAATTTACAGTAACACAAGTACAGGAATGTTACAAGTAATATTACTTGTTACAACACAAGTAAATTATGCTCAGAAACTCTAATGGTGGGTAATGATTAATGGCATTAATTCTGCTTTGCTAGTTACTGACTAAGATAATCTGATTTAATTGGAAGATTAAATATTTTCTCTCCCCCCTTCTCCAATGCCCCATTATCTCCACTCATTTTTCAGATTATTGAAGATTTAAGATGGATTTCTCTAAACTCCCCAAAATCCGTGATGAAGATGGAGAAAACATGTTTGGCTATGTCTATGGCGTCTCAGGGCCTGGTAAGTGGTGCTTTGTTCTCTTTGAGAAATCTTTTTCTCTTTTACATAGCAAACATTATGAAAATTTCTCATTTTGATGGAGATATTTTTATGCTTGGTACTATTATTTCTGTGGACACGAACAGAAGAGAGCATGGTTCTGTCCTAAGTGTTTGCCTTTTGCTGTTCTGAGCCTTCTAGAATGATGCTGTTTCCTAGTGCTTTCACCAGATTTGAGGTCCATTCCTCCAGCACATGGGAAGATTTTCCTTTCCTGCATGGAGGGGAAGGGGAATTGCTTGGTGCACTTGGCCACAAATCCAACCTTCTATTTGCAAACTTCCCCACTGACTTTATGATGAAGCTGGCAGAGAAGATTGCAAATGACAGACAATAAATGATTGGAATCAGTTAGCAATCACATGATCACAAGGCACTGGGCAACAATTTTAAATATGAACAGATTGTCAAGCACCCGAAATGTGATAATGTGATCCAGGGGTTGGGGGGTGGGCAGGTGCAACATTTTATAATTACATTTACATTAAATGGCCAGTCATAAATTGAGGACTGCTTATATTCTTCAGAGCATGTGTAAAATCCTGATTCCTATTTTATGCATACATAAAGTACACTTGCATAAAATTCTTTTGCAGATTAATAGACCTTTGCTTTAATGGGTACCTCCTAGTCTCAGTATTGGTATTTCATTTGGAGTCCTTACCTTTCTCAGAGGTCCTTCCCTTCTTTCTTTCAGTTAGAGACTCATTTGCTGTTTCTGAGCTACAGTATCACACAACCTTTCTTCCAATCTTGTTATGATGATGTGATTCTTTTTGCACTGTTGTTGGAATGAAATGGAGAACTTACATTGTTCTGTGTGAAAATATACAAATTATAGGCAGTTCAGTTTTGAAATCTTCTGGCATGATGATCTGGTAATGCAAGATTCACAGAAGGCAAAAAAAACATTGCTACAGATAAAGAGTATCATTGTAAAGAGACTAATACAGTTCTATGCATGTTTACTCATATAAATGTGCATAGGATAATAGCTTAGCAAATTATTTTTATCAATAGTGCAATAATTAGGGTGATCATATAAAATTTGACACAAAGAATGTTTCAGAAACCAACATTAAAGAATTGTCACATAAACTGTGATATATTGTTTAGTGTAATTTACTCTAGCCATACATTTCTCAGATTAAGAAACCATTATTTTTTTCTTACCATTACTAGATTCTTTTCCTCCTTTTCTTTCACCTGCTTCTTTTAATTATCTCAGGTAGTTGTGTTTTTGTTGTATGGCTGGTGTAGCTTATCTTTGTCAATCACTTGTTTATATTATACTATTGAAGAAAAAGAACATGGAAGAATTCTTGGTAGTTCTCACCAGCATTTTAAGGTACAATGATACACTTTTTAAAAGCTCATACTGATATATTTTCATGAAAGTCCTTTATGATACTCTCTCTCAAACATGTATCCTCCAAATACTTCACTATAGATTTGGTTATAACAGAAAGCCAGTCAGGATCCAGTCTAACCCACATTTCAGAAGTTTTTCTCTTCACTGACGGATTCTATCCAATTTCTATGATAAATGACAAGATAAATGACTTTATCAGTTTAGAAGATTGATGTGGATCCCGTAGTAACCCATTTAGGCCTACCTCATTGTGTTACCTGCTTATTGGGCATTTTAACTGAGCACTATAAAGAGTTCAGTAGGGCTTCTAGAAACTTTAAATAAATGAGCTGGTAGCTGAATAGCTGAGCAGAGAGATGAAATTTCTTGTCCATGACTGTTCCCAAAGCAAGATGAATGCTACATAGGAGAGTTTCTGTACTTTAGAGTGACTTCATCTTTTTTCTGACATTACTATTTTTTTGTATGTCTCATATTTGTTAGTTGAGTTCATGTTCAGAAAACACTAGATGTGATTCTGATCCTCATATTTATATATTAAAATAATGCTTAGTTTTTTCATGCCAAATGACAAGATTTATAGTAAAGAAAATATAAAGCTACTATTTGTTAGAATTATAATTCAAGCTATATAATCCTTTTCTTTGGTTTTTCTTAGTGGTCACTGCTTGCAACATGGCAGGAGCTGCTATGTATGAACTGGTACGAGTTAGCAATAGTGAACTTGTAGGAGAGATTATCCGGTTGGAGGGTGATATGGCTACTATCCAGGTATATGAGGAAACCTGTATCCTTTTAGCTGACATGCAAGTTTAGCTTAAGATATGAGTTTAGAGGGCATAAATAATGGAAAGACAAAATATAGCCTGTTTTAACAACTATAAGCATTTAACAATATTCTTATGCATAATACCAATTAACCAAAATTAAAATTCATTAGCTGGAGAATTTAGAAAATTATAAGTGCAAACATGATTTATAATATGAAATGTTTTGTTTAGTTGGTTAACAATTAATCTTTGGAATGTTAACAATATTTCTTTTGGCTCATCATCAGAAAAAAATTTACAACAACGCAGGTTGTATTTGACACTGTTTTCTAGAGTAATTTCCTCAACAAATTTTTTAGCTGGTGTTTCAGTTGGAGATCCTGTGCTTCGCACTGGCAAACCTCTCTCTGTGGAACTTGGCCCTGGTATCATGGGAGCCATTTTTGATGGTATCCAAAGACCTTTGACAGATATTAGTAGTCGGACTCAAAGTATATACATTCCCAGAGGTGTAAATGTGACAGCTTTGAGTAGAGATATCAAATGGGACTTCACTCCTATAAAAAACCTGCGGGTAAGTTATTTTGGATTCTTTGAAATATTTCAGTAGATGTTGGCACATATTTGAACTAGGATTTTCCATACTAAAATGGGAACCAGTATACTAGCATCCATCAACTGTTGTACTTATATTTCTTTTTCTTTTTTTAAAAAAATTATTGTATATTTTTCATTATTGTTCATCCACAGTTCCAATTTTACAACATCATTGTACTGGTTATATCAAGTCCTTTTTTTAACATCATAATATACATCCTGATTGTAACTATCATACAGTATAATCTCTTTTGATTACATGTTATACATCATGATTATAACTATTGTTTTCATATTTATACCATAATACGCTATTACATTTATCATTTTGTGCATTTTAAATTCTATTCACATACAATCCAATAGTGATATTGCTTACATTGTTTATTCTTACATATTTCATTATATCTGTATTTATTTCTATTTTGTTATATTGAAATATTAAGATATTTCTTGATATATAAGGTAACTTTACCATTACCGTAAGTCAAAGCTATGGTTCACCGAAACAAGAAGGATTTGTCTTAATGGATTATAGAGATACATTCAGTATTGTGTGTATGTTTTCACTGTTTATATATGTATTATATATTCTTTATATTATATCTCCACACTTGTGATGATAAATTTTTAAGATATTTTCCTTGAATGATTTGCCTGTACTGTGGTGTTCAATTCATCATCTGTATTAAGGGAATGCTCTACGTTGTGTTATTAGAGAAAAAGAAAAGGCATTTGCGGACTGTCAATATAAGGTCCTCAACCACTTTTTCTAAAGAAATGTGGAGTTTCAATGTCACCCATCCTTATAGTAGGCATTCATATATAGAGCATGTATTTGTAATTTAAGAATTTCTTTTTAATTGCAGGTTGGTAGCCACATTACAGGTGGCGATATCTATGGCTTAGTGAATGAGAATTCCCTTATAAAGCACAAAATCATGTTGCCTCCACGAAACAGAGGTACAATAACATACATTGCTCCACCTGGAAATTATGATGCATCTGTAAGTTTTTCTTTTAATTAAATTTGCTAGTCTGTTGCCTTTCCTAAATAATATATGGATTTTGATGCTTTAGACTGGTACTAAATTGGAGGAAAACATTTCCCATTATTTGCATTCTTAAGTTGTAGGGGTGCTACAAGTTTGAGTTAAAAAGAATTAGAGAAATGTATAGATAACAACCTTCCTGTCTAATTTCCCTGACAGTCATGTGTGTGTTTGTGTGTGCATGTGTGTATCTGTATCTATATCACTGAAATTAGTGTATGGCTGAACCAATTCTGATGAGAAATGACATGACTGTGTGGAGTCTTACAGTATTCATGAGCCAATAGCTTTAAAATTATTTGTACTTTATAGATAGCCTTCATGGTGCCCTGAATTGCTATGGTCAACATAGCTTTATGGAAATATACGTCTTTGTTTCTGTGCTCCCCTACCTCAGCTTTACACAAATTCTCGACTCCCTGCTTTACTAACATAGTTCTCATTTGACTAGTGAAGTTAGCTGTAGCCTTGTATTGACAAGGTTTGTTTGTTTTCGTCTCTGTCATCTGCATTGATCTTTATTTTGCTGCTTTCATTTAGGATGTTGTGTTGGAGCTGGAGTTTGAGGATGTGAAAGAAAAATTTTCAATGGTCCAGGTCTGGCCTGTACGTCAAGTCCGTCCTGTCACAGAAAAGTTACCTGCAAATCACCCTCTTTTAACTGGTCAGAGAGTCCTTGATGCACTGTTTCCGTAAGTGCCAGTTGTTTCTGGCTGCTTTTTTGTTGAAAGTGATCCGTTAGTGCTGTTTCTTTTTTATGAATCACAATTATTTTATAACACAATGTGATTCCTTCTCAGCCTGAAAGCTCACCAAGTGAGCTGTTTCTCAGAGCCAGTTCTCCTTTCCAGGCTGCCTCACACTGTAGTTGCAGTGTGAAAAGGGAGTTTGAGTGACGAGGCAGGAAAAATATTGAACAAGCCAAAAATAAATTAGAAGCACGCATATTTTTTCAACATTGAAATATGAAACAAATTCCCACTGTAAAATTTGCATCTTGGTAAATTTTAGTTTCAGATAAAACATTGACTTTCAGAGAAAAGGGTGACTATGTTTGAAATGGAGTATATTTCTTTTCTCTTTTCCCCCCCCAAGACCAATATAGAAACTAGAACAAAGAATTTTTTGGGTTTTTTCTCTATGCACTCTGTCACTAAGTATTCAGTTGATATGTGAAATCTTTTATAAATGTATAAATAGAAATAGTACTTAGGCTTATATATTGCTTCATAGTGCTTTACCACACTCTCTGAACTGTTTACAAATGTCAGCATATTGTCCCTAACCAAATCTGGGTCTTCATTTTACCAACCATGGAAAGAGAAGAACTTCTTAAACACCCATACATACATACATACATACATAAAGATGTAATATTTCTTTTATTCAATATCTTATCTGTATCTACCCTCAGGGCTGTAATAAATTTGAATTTTCTGGAACTCCAATACCCAGAAGTAAGGGTTCCCTCCCAACTTTCTTCTGAACCCAAACAAAAGGAATTTAGTAGTGAGTTCTTCAGGCTTAAGTGTGTTATGTCGACAAAGATAGAATTTTGCTCACTTTTTATAGGCTCAGGTTATTTATCTTCTATCCTGGAGAGATAAGATTTTTGGGATGAAATATCAATTGGTCACTACACAGTTTTCTCTGGAGTGGGAAGAACTAGAATGCCTACCAAAACATGGGAAAGAAATGGGCTGAAGCCAGCCAAATGAGATTATAGAGTTGCTGGTTGTTTTACAAAGCTCTCTGTACAACACAGCATGATGTTTTCTTCTGATTTAATATGAATGTTGTTTTTTTAATATCTAGGTGTGTTCAAGGAGGTACTACTGCTATTCCTGGGGCGTTTGGTTGTGGAAAGACAGTTATTTCCCAATCTCTTTCTAAGTATTCCAATAGTGATGTTATTATCTATGTAGGCTGTGGTGAACGGGGAAATGAAATGTCAGAAGTGCTCAGAGATTTTCCAGAGGTTGGTACTGGGAGTTGGCAATACTGTGCAAATGAGAGTTCAGGGGGGAGGTTCTGGCTCCATGTTGCAATTTAATTTAAGCAATTATGTTGATTTTCAGGGAAAAAAATCAAAAACATTTTTGGAAGCCTTCCCAAAAATGTATTGACTTTTTAGTTCCCTTTAAAAGATAATAGAAATATTGGTTTATGAGGTTTACAAACATGTTTGTTTCTGATGTTTGAAGTTGGTTGATTAAATAATAACACTTGGGAAACATTAAATAAAAACTTTACATAAAAAAAGATTTCTATTTAAAATCTTTTAAATAGAAAATAAACTGAGAGCTTCTGGCACCGAAGACAAATTCCTTGGTATATCTAATCACACTTGGCCAAATAAAGCTCTTCTCTTTCTCTTTCTCTTTCTCTTCCCTCCCCTTCCCTCCCCTTCCATTCCATCCCATTCTATTACTGTTTTTATGGAGCTATTGCTATCCACTCAATATGAGCAGAGTTGCCTTAAGAACCTATTTTTACAGAAACATTTTAATGGGAAACCTGTAGGCTAGATGCAATCCCAACTTATTTCAGTGGAGCCCCCAACTCAATTTTAATGGTTCTTAGATACAACCACATTCACTCCCATCCTCTCTAGTTACATCATTGTATACTGTACAACCTTTATAAATCCAAAACTGTTAAGCAGATGTGCAGTCCCCAGGTCCAGGAAAAGGCCCCAACTTGATTCAAAATGTAACATACTGTAGTTTTTAAACTGGCTGGTTTAAAAAATGGTAAACAATACAGAATTGTTTTAGTGTATTTTTATTTTGTTTTATTTTTCTGCTTTGTATCTTGACTTGAGATTATTGATAAAATATTTAATTATTAAAGTCTAGTAGTCATCTAAATTTACATACATTCAGAAACAGAAGCAGCAATTATTAGAATTGAATTTAAATGAAATGAATTTAAAGATAATTCTTATTTATGAAAAGAAACAAAGAGTGTTATGACACCTTAAATACTAACAGACTCATTTTAGCAGAATCTTAAATGGACTATGGTTCGTTTCATGTAGTCCCTCTGATTTCTATACATCCTACACTGAATTTTTAGGCAGTTATCAAAATGGTTTAGGGATATTTGGCTGAGTTCAGTTTTTGAGGGCAGATTCACTATTATCATAATTGAACCTGTTATAGTTCCATGATTCAGGACCTTAAATTGGGCATATCAACCTTTTTAAAAAAATCTGTGCAAAAATATTGTATCTTTTGCATTGTAATAGGATAATAATATTGTTGGGGAGTTAAAATTTGTGAATCATTCGAGTATCTACTTTTATTTTTCCTTCAGAAAACTAATACCCTTTTGTTTCCATTTTTCTTTTGATTTGTAGCTGACTATGGAAGTTGATGGTAAGACAGAAAGCATAATGAAGAGAACTGCTCTAGTAGCAAACACTTCCAATATGCCTGTTGCTGCCAGAGAAGCCTCTATCTACACTGGTAAGAAATGTGAAAACAAAGATGGAATTGACTTAATACTTGTTTCTTGGTCTTTTCGCTATTGATGGCTTTCTCCCATTCAAAAGGTGCTTATAACAATTTGCCTGTAAACTTAACTTTGACCTGTGTCACTAAAGATTACACTCAAGAACTGCCATTAATATAGAATAAAACCAGAACTGTAATAGTAGTGTCTTGGTGCCAAGTGAGGTTGATTGGGCAAGCAAGGGAACCTTATAGAGATCTATTTTATTACCTCTCTTGTAGAGGCCCTAAAGACACTGAGGGCATTAGTTATAGATTTAACAGCCTTACCAGGCAAACCAGGCAAGAAACACAACCAGAAAAGCTAATTTCTACTTTATTGTAAAACTACTTCAAAAGAATCTTGCAAGTCTGAAAGTATAATTCTCCTGCTGTCATCTTTACAGTCCAAGACATAACGAAAGTCCCTTTTGGGCTTCTTGCTCTGCCGATTTTACAGCTGTGCATTATGCTGCCTCTTTTCTGCCTGTTCCCTAAGCAGCATCTCTTTGCCCTGTCTCCCACAGTCTTCCCCACATACCATTATAAGATTGTACTTTGGGTCCCAATAGATGCAGAGTCAGATTTAAACTGCTTGTTATTGTGTATAAATCCCTTAAAGGTTTGAGCCCTACCTACCTGACTTTTTCATACAAAACCAAACCTAAGCAAATAGGCATCTGAAAACCATGACTAAAGAGGACCTCTCTTACAAAAACAACTCAAGAGTTTTTGTATTGTACAGCAGGAGCCCATTTCAAGGAAAATGCAAACTAAGGAAAGCTAATTCCATGATACAGTACAATGGTTGGTGAGAAGAAGTAAATCATGAAACATCCCCAAGCACTTAAGTATTTTATACCAAATGAGGGCAGCTGGCCGATCATGTGTTGGCCTCAGCACCCAATGTGCAGTCCCAGGGTCCCCTATAAACTTGGTCCTTTTCTGGTTTTGGGTGTGTGAAACAAAATGCTTTGTTTCCAGCATTTAATTAAAATGAAGAGAAGGAAGAACTATAAGAAGCAAATGAATATTCTTTTTATGCCTAACAATCAATTTGTACACTTTGATACAAATCTTAGATTCTGGAATTCTTCTTGAAGATTTCTCATAAGCCATCACAGGTGAAGGTCTTTCTATGTAATATATGACTTGTAATTATTATTGATCATAGGGATTACCCTGTCTGAATATTTTCGTGACATGGGCTATCATGTCAGTATGATGGCTGACTCAACTTCCCGATGGGCAGAGGCACTTCGAGAAATTTCAGGGCGGCTGGCTGAAATGCCTGCTGGTATGCATTTTCTTTTTTGTAACTTTTGGGGGAGAAACTGATTTCAAAAGTTTTGATTTTTTTTGTCATCAAAGAAGCTAACTTGCATTTTATTGGGTGATTGTAGATAGTGGTTATCCAGCCTACCTTGGTGCTCGCCTAGCTTCTTTCTACGAACGGGCTGGTAGAGTGAAGTGTCTGGGGAATCCAGAGAGAGAAGGAAGCGTTAGCATAGTTGGAGCGTGAGTATATTAAAGACAAGATGTTCTTTTTCTGCACAGTGTATATTATTTTGCACTATGGTCTCTTATCTGACCATCTTGTATTTAGGAAACATTCCCTGAAATTAAAAATGCTTGTTCATAAAGTGAAACTGAAAGAGATAATGGGGAGCATTATATAAATAAAATAAATAAAAAAGACATTTCTTGTTTCAAGACAGCATTAGAGAGATCAGTCTGCAATTTGTTACAGTTGTCATTTTCTTGCTACTATACAGTTTTTCACTGTTCTGTGAATATTATGCAATGTCTCTGATTCATTTTAAGAACTACAGTCATAAATCAAATTGTTCATTTAAGTATTTTCTCTGCCCATTTATATTTGATTAAATATTCATTTTCTTAATATCTTTCCAACTTAGTCCTTACCTGATTTCTATAAAAATATTTAAAATTGGGGGGTGGGGGGGGGAACCATAGTTTCAGTGGCAAAACTCATACTTTGAATATCATTTCTGACAACCACTGTTATGATTGAGGAAGATTTTTCTTTACTGATCTTACTGAGATCGCTAGAGAGGGCAAAGCTAAAAGTTCAGCCTTCATTGGGGGTTGCAATGGAACATTCTCAACGATAAACTCGCAGCTCAGATTTCTGCTTGGAAAGATGCATTTAATTAGGAAGTCCAAGCCTAAAAAGTGAATTGCAAACATACTGTATAATTGATGGTCCTTCTCAATTTGATGTATTATTACTAATTGTGATTTCCCCTTTCTGTCTTTTTTCTCTCCTATCCCTATTCAGTGTATCTCCTCCTGGTGGTGACTTCTCTGACCCAGTTACTTCTGCTACTCTGGGTATTGTTCAGGTAGGCAATAACTCTGCTTTCTGACTAGAATGGAAGCTTTAATAAAAGCTTATTGAATCTAGTTGGTGAGTCTGTTACTATGAAAGACTCAGTGTTGTTTGTTATTTTTAATCTGTTTATAAATATGTAGACCCATAGGTTTGGGTGGCCAGCCTGTAGCAAATGCAGTAATTAACCATGTACCTTAACTACTATTCTGGTTCTGAGGTACTTAGTTTGCTGCCCAGCTTCCCTGGGACTTCTTATTCATAGCCCTGTTTCTTCTAACAATGGTTCTGTAATATTCTGGTCATCTTTTTTACCAGTTTATAGTGAGACAACTAATACTCATTTTTTAAATTTTGGTTTAACAGATCAGATCTTATGGTAAGAATAGCATTGAGGAAAGGTGTTTTCTTCATCTTTAGTTATAGGCAGAAGTTTATGATATCACTTATACATAATCTGATACAATTCAACATTAATCTCAAATGCTTATTTCTTTTTTGGAAAAGAGGGGTCAATTACGGTTCTAAACATGTGATAATTCACTCAATCTGATGACACAACTTCATGCCTGTGCAGAAACAACTGCACTCAAATATGTGAATTAAGATATTTTGATAACGTTTTTTTTTTCAAAATGTAATGCATATCATCAACCAAAATGGCATGCTTATGTTAGGGAAGTGTAAAAAACTATACATTTGTGAAAATCATAGAAAAAATGCTAGCAAAATAGTTTTTATTTTAAAAAACAGAAAGTATGATTGTATATGGCTAAAGTTGGCAAAAGGAAGAAATGAACAAAATAAAATTGATAGGCTTGCCCATCCTTACCTGTAAGGAATGTGCCAAAAGAGAGATCTGGTTCATTCAGAATGAAGTCTTCATTAGATATATCACACTTGAAGAACATGGAATCATTTGAAGAATTCTTGGTTTACTTGGATCTCAGCCACAGGAGACAACTTGTAATAACTGAGTTTTAATTTGTGAGCTTGTCATGCAACCTTTTGTGCTATGCCATTAATGTAAAAACTCTTCTTAGTTATTAGATACAAGCTAATGGTTTGCACAGAACAAAGTATTCACTTTCCTTTTCAGTTTTGAAACTCATTGGTTGTTTTTAGTCAAACTGCACTTTGTCTATAGAATGCTTTTAAGTTCAAGTGTGAAATCCTCTGCTTCTTGTGGTCTTCTCCTTGAAGAAGTACTCGGAAGCAAATGCAGTTGTTAATTGAGGATACTCATTGACATTTTATTACTTTTGGGGCAGGTGTTTTGGGGCTTGGATAAGAAGCTTGCTCAACGTAAACATTTTCCATCTGTAAATTGGCTCATTAGCTACAGCAAATATACACGTGCTTTGGATGAATATTATGATAAGCATTTCCCTGAGTTTGTTCCCTTGAGGACTAAAGCAAAAGAGATACTGCAGGAAGAGGAGGATCTTGCAGAGATTGTACAGTTGGTGGGGAAGGTAAGTGAAGGAACATTGCACTTACGGAGCAGTTTCTATATCTGAAGCTATTTGGATTCATTTGTTATTTAATTAGTTATAAAATGCTGAACAAATAATTCCCTCAACACTGTTCAACTATTACAAAGTCTGCACTACTATTACTGTTAATCTGCTCATTACTCCTTATCACCCATCCCCTCCCACTTGTGACTGTATGGCTGTAACTTTGTCGTTTGTATCCTTACGATTTATACGGACTGTTTCCTAGTATGATTTGATTGCTTATTGTACCCTATGACTATCACTAGGTGTTGTACCTTATGATTCTTGATGAATTTATTTTTTCTTTTATGTATACTGAGAGTATTTGAACCAAGACAAATTCCTTGAATGTCCAACCACACTTGGCCAATAAAGAATTCTATTCTGTTCTATTCTAAAATAATTCCAAAGGAATGTAGAAACAAATGTTAAAGCTATACCAATTGGCAATTTTTGAAAATCTGATGAGATACTTTCAGATGAGATTTAAGAAAATGTGTTCAGTGCAAAGATGATGTCTTGTGTGTTTGTGTCAATGGTAGTTTCAAGATATTGGAGACATTAAATTTTACTATTTAAACATTTGCACAATGCTAGTATTGCTGTTAGGTGCTGTAGATAATCTAAAGTAATACAGTCCTAATTAAACACTTCCTTAGGCAAAATACAGTAGAAGTGAAAGTTTTTGCAACATAGGCAAGTTCATGTTCCCAACCATCCAATGAGCTGCAAAAGACACCATCTGTTTGTGATACCATCAAAGGTGACAGGACCAGCAAAGCATTCTTATTCTCACCCTTATACTCATACATGATTCAAAATTGCCATCTTTCAAATCAATTTTGGTACATTTGGGGAGGGTCAATCTCCTATTCCTGTATCTATCCTTAAATCCTGCCACAATGCTAAAATTAGACTGAATTCAGCATCTGAGTAACTATTTTGGGACATTTAAGAATCGGTATCATAGCACTGATCCCATTCTTTCTTAAATGTTGAATACATTTTTTTAAAAAAATGCACCACCAATATTGGCCATTTTGTTGCTGGATTTCAAAACAGACGCTGGAGGAGGGGGTAGCAAGCAGATCATCAAATTACTCATTAAAGAGAATTAAAAAGAAGCAGTAAAGAACAGAAAGGTTTGGAGACACAATTATTAGAGACAAGAATAATAATACAGGTAGTCCTTGACTTACGACCACAATTGAGCCCAGAATTTCTGTTGCTAAGTGAGAAATTTGTTACGTGAGTTTTGCCCCATTTTACATTTTTTCTTGCCACCGTTGTTAAGTGAATCGCTACAGTTGTTAAGTTAGTAACACGGTTGTTAAGTGAATCTGGCTTCCCTATTGACACTGTAGTGTCAGAAGATACTGCAGATATAAATATGAGTCAGTTGCCAAAAAGTAGCATTTTTCAGTGCCAAATAGTCACTAAATAAACTGCTGTAATTCAAGGACTACCTCTAGTATGATTGATAAAAGTGATTTTTCAAAGTTAATATTATAACAGCTTTTCTTTTCATGCCAACTGGGAGAGATGTCTATATAAGTAAAAAGCTAAGTAGATGTTTTTCTGTGAAGATTCTCATGATGTATTCATAACAACCAATTCTTACATTTTGATTGACTAGTTATCTGGATCAGATCACTCTTTTAAATGACTTTTTCTTCTCTTTCACCTTAGGCTTCTTTGGCAGAAACAGATAAAATTACACTGGAAGTTGCCAAGCTCATTAAAGATGATTTCCTGCAACAGAATGGTTATACCCCATATGACAGGTATGACCATGGGGGATTGGATTTTTTTCTGTGGGGAATTCTGTCTGCAGAGACTGCTTGGGTAGAACTTCTTCTGCACAATAAAGAACCACCAATAATTTGCAGGAATGATCTTCTATACTGCAGTGTCAGATAATTTTTGTTTGCTTTCCCAGAGACTGATAATTTGAAATGAAACGGACAACTCTATCTTGGCAAACAGGGACTTAAAATTTTGATTTCTTCCTTTATTTCATATCACATTTTTCCGTGGCTTTATGGACGTTGCTTTGAAACTGTTTACTCTTGTTAATGGGTACTCTACAGTACTCTCTCAACTTTCCATAGAAACTTATTTTCTATAGAAAATAGATATACTGTAGAAAATAGGTATAGCATATGTCTGAACACTTTTGTGTTCAGGCATATTCTATATCTGGAATATTTGACATGTTCAATTCTGCCTAGGGGATTTTATATCAATTTTTCAGATGTTAGAAGAATTTTGAAGCAGTTAACGGTTTGCCACCTTCCTCCCATTCTCACTTCTTGCTTTGTTGTGCAGTTTGATTGCAGCATTTTATTTTGCTTTTTCAGATCACCCAATTTTCTCTTCCTGTTGCTTACAACTGCAAAAAAAAGAGCTGTTTTAATTGACAGATAGCAAGTAGTCTTTCAAACAGGTTAACTAAGAAACTGTTACTACTTCTCCTTGTGGTAGTAGTGTTAACATTTCAGAATTGAATTCAGAGGGGAAGATATCAGTGAGAGCAATAAAGTGATTGTGGGATTTGTCTTCTATTTGCTTTTTTAAAAATTTATATTAAACCTAGGAATAAAGTGAGATGTGAGGTGATTGGGATTAATATATATTATTTAAAATGTTATAGTTAATGAATTAAAATAAAAGTAATAGTATTATTAATTTAATGTTGACTTAAAATAGTTTGATGAGCAGTACTGCCCAACCCTGTTCACATTCTTGCTTGAGAAGCTGATGCACCACACTCTGTTTTAAGCTGAAGGAATCATAAATTACATTTTACTTAAATGATATTTTCTAACAGAGGGCTTTCAGTCACAAAGGAAGCATCTCCATGTGCTCCTTCAGATCAGTTTTCACATATTAGTTATCTTTTTCTTACATTGTTCTTAATAACATTAATGTTAAGCTAATGGTGTGCTTGTTAACAAAGGACAAACATCACCTATCACTTTGCAGATGATCGTATAACATCGCCAATCCAAAAAGGGGAAAGGTTCGATTAATGATAAGCTCATATATATAGAAGAACAGTAGCTGCAAATATCTATAATTGTTCCAGAATGGGATTCATCTAACTGAGCTTCGTATAATAATTGAAACTGCTAATGGTGTATATCTCCCCCCACCCAAGTTTTATTAGATTTTTATTTTTAAATAAACCTCAAGATCACTACATGAACAGTGTGGCCCCTGGTTATAATTTGTTTTGATACAAACATCAATAATGATATTCATAATGGTTGTTATATTAGTCAAACATAAAATCCTAATACATGGTTTTTTTAATGTAGTTATTCAATATTATATTCCATTTTAATGCCAATGATGTTATAAGCATACACGATACATCTTTCAACGTCTAATCTTTTCCATCAAATTACTACTTATATTCTATTGTATAAAGATTATATCTGCTAATATTCCCCCTATTTCTTATTTCTAGCTCTATTCTAACTTCTAGTCAGGTCACCCTTGCTAATCCTAATATTAATACACATGTTTATATAAGGCTTAGCTCTTCATTATTTAATTGTTCAAAGTCACAATACACCATTCAAGTACCAGTCTTCCTATTATTTAAATATACCTTATACATTTAAATACATTTAAATATACCTTATTTTTACCTCTTCCATTTTTACATTTAAATATACCTTATTTTTACCTCTTCCAACCTCCAATCTTTTCATCTAACTATTGCTTCATATAAAGGTGTGTTCTTATTTCTATTTCTATTCAAATTGCTAGTCAGTCCATCATTATATTTTACACACACACACACACACACACACCTCTTTCTATCCATCTTAATACTTCAATTCTTATTCATTTTTTGGTTTGCCTCCCATAGTCCTCTCTTGTATATCAACATCTGTATCTTCACCATCGCGACTGAATATTTCTCCCATCTCTATCCTCCTAAGCTGCCAGGTCTCCAGAGTATCCACCCAAACCCCTATCTCCCTTTCAAAAATATCTTCCAAATTATCTGATTCCCTTTTTAAATCTCTTAAAGTACTTTTCCATTGGTTTATTTCATCAGCCATTATTGTCTTTATCATCTTCTCCTTCCCATCTTCCTGCTTTATTTGCTGGTTTGTCTGTTCATTCTTTTCTTCCGTTCTTTCTGCTGTCTCCTCACTTTCCTGTACTCTTTGATCTTCATTCATCATCAGTTGTAACGTAGTTTCCATTTTCCCATATATGCCTTGCATTAGGTACTTTATCTCTCTATGATTCTCTTCCATAGTACCCCTAATGCTTTGGAACATCAATGCCATTTCTCTTGAAATCTCACTCTTTCCCCTGATGGAGCATCTTGTCTTAATTAGTCCCTCTCTTACTCAAATCCAAAAACAATACATTCCAATCCAATGTTAGTCCTCAGAAAATTCAATAATCATAATTCTTTACATCTCAGGATTATTAATCAATTCCATTTAAATAGTCCAGGAAGCTTCCGCAAATCATTTTGCTTTACTTAAGTCTTCCATAATAGAGCCTCCAGTGATCTTAAAGTAACTAGTTATAGAACAATCAATGTCACACAGTTCTCCAGATGAATGTTGTTTATTTTTCCATCAAAAAAATTGGTTTTCTAAACTTGTAGGGGTCTGGTATATTCCATTCACCAGTAGAAGGCACCCTCAGCTTCGGTTTCAGCATTGTTTCAAATCTTAAGGATTTAATTAATCCAAATTTAGTTCAATTTATGGAAGCAAAGTCAGCTATTCAAATAGATTCAAAGGGATAGTCCAGCATTTTATAATGCCTTTCCAAAACAACACCTACCCAATTTAAGAGTCCTATTTTCTATATTTTAAAAAGTCTTTAGCTTCTCTTCCCTTAGTTCATCTTTTGGGTCTAGAATTTTTCTCTCTAAGATTGTTAGCCGCTTTTAAAAATAGTTCTAAGAGTTTCTTTTCTGGATTTTCCTCTTTCTTTTTTTCTTTAAAGTTAGGGTCAAAATAAAAAGGAATCTTCTCACCCAGCTTCAGTCACTGTTCATCTGCACCGCTCCTGCACATTACTAATGCCATAGTATAAGAAATGTAATCTCTCGTAAAACATGAATGTTCTTTAGAACTATAAGTATGCTAATATAATCAATAGGATTACAAGTAAGCTCATATAATTATAAATATGGTTAGAATCATTTTGTTGTACTATTACTGTTGCTATCAGTATATATGTTACTATTTCTTTTCTTTTTCTTTTTTTCTTTGGTAAAATGGCCCGGACAATACACTGTATTCAAAATATTTATATATAAATTTTAAAAACTTGACTTAAAAAAAAGGAATGCAGTCTCAACAGTCCAATAGTGCAATTTAATTGCTGATGTATAGATGTGGATTTTCCATAATAAATCTTCATGTCTCATGAAATCTTTCCTGGAATTTGAGCTTCACAATATTCTTTTTCAAAAGCAGAATCAAGCACACAGAATTGATGTAGCTCTTCCTAATCCGAAATTGAACAAAATGATTTTTGTGTACCATTTTGTATTTCCGTTCATTGCAACAATATTCATTGAAAACTTTAATTTTTTATAAAGCCCCTTCATATGGTTGGAGTACAGGTAGTCCTCAGCTTATGACCACAATTCAGCCTAAAATTTCTGTTGCTAAGCAAAATAGTTAAGTGAGTTTTGTCCCATTTTATTACCTTTCTTGCCACTGTTATTAGTGAACCATGTAGTTGTTAAATTAATAACTGTTGTTAAGTAAATTTGGCTTCCCCGTTGACTTTGCTTGTCAGAAGGTGGTAAAAAGTGATCAGATGACCCCAGAATACTGCAACTGTTGTAAGTACATGAGTTGCCAATCATCCAAATTTTGATCATGCTGATGTTGCAACAGTCATGTGAAAAATGGTTGTGACTTTTTCCAGTGCCATTGTATCTTTGAACGGTCACTAAATGAATGTTATCAGTTAAAAACTACCTGTAGCTTTCTTAATGCTCTTATAACTTCTTCTAGATTAACTGATTAGACAATGCTAGCATTCTTTTGAAGAAACTTCATAGTGAAAGTATTGGCTTAAAACAGATTGCAGCCTCTCTCAACTAGTTTCTGTGGGCTAAAATGATCTTTGTTCCTCAATGTATTTTAGAAAGCTTGAAATGTTTGTCACAGGGAACAAAGACAGAAAAATGGGTATCTTTCTCACAAGGAGTTTTTAAAAATCTAGAATGAAGGGCTAGGATTCAGCCTAATGTAATGTTAATATAATTGTGATGTATAGAAGGGTTCCTAGTTGACAGGTCACAAGTTAAGAATTTACTTCCAATGTCAGTCTGTGAATATTATTCTGAAATTTAATCTAGGATAAACTGGATCTGGGCCTTTAGCTTCTATACCGAGATAGTAATTATTGGATACGTCTGGATCTCTGGTAATAAAGGCTTGTATTGCATGCTAAGTATACTCTGACATACAACTTTTCCCCACTCAGTAGTCTTTGGCTTATTTCCCCAGCAGTTTAGAAAACTGATTAGACCCCTATTTTAACTACACTATGCTATTTTTTTCTTCTCACCTGGCACTATTGGGGCTAGCCTACCTTTGGCCAATACTGTTTCATATCAACTCACAGTTCACGTGAGTAGGGACTGCTATTTCTGTTCTAAATATATCAAAGTGCTTTGATGCACAAATGCTGAAGATCCAGCTTTCTTCATCAGTTTTGCTTTCCAATTAGCTATAAGTGTGTTGAGGGCAACATAGGACAGGTCCTCAGTTGGTGCCGTGAATGCCTTGTATATTCTCAAAGTTGCTGCTTTATCATCTGCATTAAAGTAACTAAGGGGAAAGAACCACGTGGAAATAAAGGCAAAGATATCAGCTTTATTCACCCTCAATATTTACACCAAACAGTGCAACATTCGTATTTCATATTTTCTGAGAATTGGCCTTTTGTTAAAGTGTTTCAGTTGTAGGCTACAATCTCTTTCACTTCTTTCATATGTTAGAACATTGTGCCATTTCTTTCTCTTTTTTGTCATCGAGTTCCTTTGTGCTCATTCGGGATATTATACTAGATTCATATTCTGATGATAGTCAGCACTTGAAGCATGAATGCAAATAATAATTATGGGGAAGTAACTCCTAGTCTAATCTTTCAGAAGTATCTTCTGTTAAAAGTGTTTGGGTAGTTCGTCTACAACTAAAGAATTACTTACAAATAAGCAAATCGTTCTATAACCTGGGTGTGCTATTCAGATTTGTGTAATTGCTGAACTAAAGATACCATGATAAAAAACTATGAAAGTTGCTTATTCAACCCATAGAAAACATCCTCTACTTCACCTTGTTTCCGTATATTCATTGTCCATTATAGAAAGCTGAATTCTATAGTCGACTGCTTTGCATGTCAATTCTTTCACAAATGTTAATTATCAAATATAAATATTTGCTAACCTGTTTGTACAATTTAGTCATTAAAAAGTTCCTTAATTCTACGATAAATTTTGCTACTATTTTCACTAGGTTCTGCCCATTTTATAAGACCGTGGGGGTGCTATCTAACATGATTGCATTTTACGATATGGCACGCCGAGCAGTTGAGACTACTGCCCAAAGTGATAATAAGATTACATGGTCCATTATCAAAGAGAACATGAGTGAAATCCTCTACCGACTTACCTCTATGAAATTCAAGGTATGTACTCTGCATTAGGATTATAACAAAACAATATGTATAAGGAGTCCTCAGTGTACGACCACAATTGGGATCATAATTTTCATTGTTAAGTCGTTGTGACTCCGTAGGTTGAGTCATCATGTGACCGGATCCGATTTTAAGATCCTTTTACCATGGTTATAAATTGAATCATGTGGTTGTGTGAATCCAGCTTAACCAACAATGTATTTTGCTGAAAACTGACAAAAGATGTTTCAGATTGGAATCATGCGACTTTGGGACACTGGTCATAAATATGAGCCATAAATCATCATTAAGCAAACAGTTGTAAGTTGAGGGGTACATTTAGTAAATATTTGAATTGCAAACAAAATAAAGCAGTTCTGGGAAAGTTCTGATCCCCTTTTTGTGTATTTGTATTTGAACAAATGCAAAAGGTTACTGTCGATGGCTATGCAATGATTTCTGTTCAGTTCAATCAAAATGACTGCTTTGGCATGGGCATGAAGGCAGATACATCGCCTAGTAATAACAGAATAACAATTGGAAGGGATCTTGGAGGTCTAGTCCAATCCCCACCCAAGCAGCAGACCCTATACTATTTCAGACAAATGGCTGTCCAATCTCCTCTTAAAAACTTCCAGTGTTGGAGTATTCACAACTTCTGGAGGCAGATTGATTAGTTGTTCTGTCAGGAAATTTCTCCTTAGTGTTCTAGGTTGCTTCCTTCCTTGGTTAGTTTCTATCCATTGCTTCTTGTCTTGCCTTCAAGTGCTTTGGAGAATAGGTTGACCCCTCTTCTTTGTGGCAGCCTCTCAAATATTGGAATACTGTTATCATGTCACCCCAGTCCTTCTTTTCACTAGATTAGACATACCCAATTCCAGCAATGAGGTGACTGATTTCAAGACTGTGCAGCTGGTAAACTTGTGTGGAGACCTGATTATGTTTTTGATCATATTTAGACAACTATTTAAAATTCAGTGGGATTCACAAACTATGGTATATATCAAGCAATTTCTTATTCTTTTATTGCCCTTGTTCATATTCCAAATCAAATATAAGATTGTTGTTCCTTTAATATTTATATTCAGGGTTGACAAAAGTGTTTAGTTTTTTAAATGGCAAGACTGTGTTAGGGATAGTCACATTTATATTAATAGGAAGCAAGAGATAGGTAGGTCTAAGTAGTTCCAATCTCGTAATGTGATTTAGCAAGAATTGTAGAACATCTGCTTTACTATAACTTGAGCTGCTGAAAAAACAAAGTGGATGGCCTTGTTTTCTTATCATGCTAGAAAACTGCTTCATGGTTGGCATTAATTGGCTGCAGACCTCCTTTTTAAAGTCTGTTTCTGTCATCTTCTGGTACCTGTTCAAATTATGTACAAAGAAATGTTGCTAGGTCTTTCGTATCACCTCTGGACTCAGGAAGGAGGGTGAAGCATTTCACAATTCCTTTTTGAATATGAAACTTGGTACACTTGCAGATTGCTATTTGATTTGTTACTATTATAGCAGAAGTGAAAGAGAAAATAGTAACTTGCTGCATGAGGAGGTATTTATCAGTCGGGGGTACCTATGCTGGCTGTTTTGTTTTACTACAAGGGACAGGTGGATCTCATCCGGCATATCAAAGGACCAGGTCCCTCTGCACCATTGGTAGGAATTCTGCAATGTTAAGATATTCATGACATCTTCTGAGGAATTGCTCTTTCTAAACCTTTTGAGTGATTATCCAATTTCGCCCTGTTGAATTTCAGGATCCAGTGAAAGATGGAGAGGCAAAGATCAAAGCAGACTATGCCCAGCTGTTTGAAGACATGCAGAATGCATTCCGCAGTTTGGAGGACTAGTAATTCCCACTTCAATGTTTCTCATTTCAATCTTGCCTTTTACTAGTAGAAGATGAAGATATACATTGTGATGAAGATTACTTATAACTGGAGAAACATTCCAATTTAGTTTGATAGTTGTGTGTGTCTTTGTGCAAATGTAAAGCAGACTTTGCGAAAGTCCCCGTAAGGCTTGAAGTCTTCTCACCAAATTTAATCCTTCAACTGTTTCTCTTTTTGGAAGAGGATTAAGGTTGTTAAAGTATATATTTCTTCAGGGAGGAAAAGCAGTTAAATCAGTTTTCTACCACAAGTGGTCATGCATGATGCTTCAAAGGTAGTTTTGCTTATTCTTTAATGCTGCTGTTGTGTCTATAATCAATAGAGTTGATCAGAATTGTAGATCACAATATTTTTGTGCAAAAGCTCTTCCCCATTCTTCTTAATGTGCTGAGAAATCTTCAGGATTAGAACTGATGGGCAAAAATGATTCTATGCTATGCCATTATTATTTGAGGAAATGTATGCCTTTTGAATGTACATGCGAGTTGTTAAATTATTTTTCTATGCTTTTTATGCTTGGAAATTATGGACCAGAAAAGATCAACCCTTCTTTTATTTCTGGCAGTTTGCTATTTAGAACTGTAAGTATCCTTATTTGAGCAAATGTAACACTATAAACTTATAAAACTTATAAAAAATGAAAAACCATGGAATAGTTGTACAAAATATTTTAAATTTACTGAGGAAGAGAATGTTGAAACCCCAAGCTTTAATTATAAAAAAGCTGCTAATCCTTTCTCATCTTTCCTTGTAAAGATCATTATGTCTAGGGCTTTCTTATAGCATGTTAATAGCAGGCCTTGAAGATCATATATAATTACAATTTAAATAATGTGAAAGATAATCTTTAAAAGTTTCCTTGATTGAACCTCCTACTGCCATTGTGACATTGCTGCAAAATTTGTCTGAATCCTCTGTGGAATTCTATTTCCTTGAACATTTGTAAATGTATTATAATATGAAGTACGATTATAAATATGATGCAGTGGAAACTGGAAACAAGGTTGCTAAACACTATAATCAAGTGATAACATATTTCCTCTTCCTGACCACTTTAACTATAGAGGTGATGGCCCTTCTGTTTCTGGTGTGTCACTCAATTATCAGTTTTGAGCCTTTCAAAAATGTGTTTTTTTCTCATTTAGGCAATGCCAGTTAAATTTAATAACTGCATTTTCAATTCTTTTGAGTTTTATATTTAGAAAGTTAATTTCATTTATGCTGTGTTTGCAGAATATGATATTTGAATAATTAGCACAAAGCAGTTTTGTTTCTTGCTGAAATCCTTATTGATTGTATTATGTTGTAGCATTCTATGCCTAGGAAACTGATTAACTACTATAACTTTACATATAGTGTATTATGCTGCTTTGTTCTGTGTCTCACTGCCTCACTGTGCAATTTATTTTTGGATAAAAATAAAAAAAAATCTCTTTGTGTCAGTGTTAGAAAAATGATGCTCATGTCATGATATTACAAACTCAATTGTTCCAAGAGAAGAGGAACTGATGGGAAGAACAGCATTGTATTTATGGCTTTGTGTGTATTTGTTCAAATCTTAAAGAATACAGTTGTGTTGATAATATACTATTCTTGCCCTTCATAGAGTGAGTGTTTCTAGCCTTTTAATTGGTGCTCGATGTCAAGACATTACAGAATTTAGTAATATAAAAATGAGTAAACTTAAAACTGTGCTTATACAGTATTACCTAAGCACTTCAATACTATATTCAATTATTATCTTAAAGCTGATTGGAAATTATAGATATTGAGATTCAGGATTATATATATTTAAATAATCAGAAGCATTTACTCTCAAGCTTTAGGATGATGTTATTCTATATTTCTTAGAATTGGAATTTGCAGGATTATTGGAAATGCTTTTTTTCCATCTAATTTTTTTATTTCAATCTACATATAATACATTAACAGTGTGTCATCAGTATATTATACATCTCTCATTGCATTATATTCATATTAATTCATACTTCTTCAATATTTATTTTCAACCTTACTCTCTCCAGATGCCTACCACCATATCAATTAAACATACCGTATTTGCCGGCGTATAAGACGAC